GCATCATTACATATTTGATGTTATTCATTTATAAGCCGAGTTTTCATCTACTGTATTCATAAATAAACAACACAATGTAAACAAAAACAAAACTAAGAAATACACAAAGATGGCTTAAAAAAAATCATTTTCTCATTATTAAATTATGCAAAACAAAAAATGGCTGATGATTTAACTGCCCATAGATCAAGTAATTAAATAACCAAATGTATCTCTAAACTTCAAAACAATTATGTAACTATATAATTCTTTCATTTTTCCTTGAGAAAATTTCAACAAAATTGTACATTTTTGTATATTTCATGGACTGAATATTATAATGGAACAAGTAATAAAGCCATTTGTCTAAATGTTTTTTTTAATCCTTTAAAAGGAAATCTTTACAAGTAATTAACTCAAGTCATGGCAATGAGCAAGTTATGAAAGTGCAACCAAACAATAGAAATTCTACTCGATAAAAAGAAAGGGAAAGGAAAAAAATAAGGCAAATACTTAAAAGTTCAGTTATTTAATACAGAAGCCGTACAAAGTTGCCTGAAGTTGTTTCAATTTGCAGTATAGGCAAGAGCAAAAGATATTTTTTCAGCACAAAAAGCATTTTAAGGAAAGTAATTCCTATCATACATGAGGGTTTAACATAAAACTTGGGTGTCGCAGACTAAAATTCGAACCCAAAATTTAATTTAATTTTGAACCCCCACAGTGGCAAATCAGATGCCCTAATCACCCAACCCTAGCACGTCTTTTCTTTTAAATAAAATATATTCTTCCATGAAATTAAAGAAAATGAGACAAAATTTAAGGTAATTAAGCGCAATCAAGAGCTTCCCATCATAAACAAGCAATACTGTGTATGACAAGAAACTTTTCAACATTTTCACACTTAGACGCCATAAAATATAAAAAGTACATTTAATTAGAACAACGTACATATGCAGAACATTAATGGCATTGGTACAAAATGACAATAGCATAAGTAACTAACCATCCCTAACCATTTTACTGTAGACATTTCTTCCATGTCAAAGAAACAAAATGACAAAATTAGAAGACATTTTTGGAAAATGTTTTTGAAGTGATAATAATTCAACTTTTCTCAGCCAAATACGTTTTGGTGTGGCATCAAAGGGTTCCAGTAAGTAAAAAAAAGGGAGCTCCCAATTTCTTATTATAAGTCATTGGATACAAAACCCTCATTTTTGTAAATAATATATTAATTAAAGATTTTTAAACAATAAAAAATAAATTATTTAATTTAAAGGTTATTTGTTTTCATAATAACTTTGAATATGCAAATCGAAAGGTAAAAAAAATTTCTGAACACCTAGAAAAACATAACTTGTTTTCCAAAGTTCACTGTCTACAGCCTGATATTTATCTAAATAGTAATCACATTTTGCTTAGTTAGTACCATGGTAGTCTTTAATATGGAAATACCACAGTCCACTCAGAAAGTAATTATTAGTTTGTATAATGAAGGAAAATCATTTTGTGAAATAGGAAATGTACTTAATAAGTAAGCGACCATTGACAATTCATTAGATCTCCCGTATAAGGAGCTTGGTAATGCTGAAAACAGACTGTGTTTAAGTTAGCCAGAAAAATTAAACAACAGTGTCGTTCTCATAGAAGTGACCACCTCATCAAGTACCGCAGAAATTACAAATATTCTGTATCAGGATAATAATATTTCAGTTATGCCCCCAAAAGAAACACTATTAAAAATCAAGGCATGCATGTCGCAATCCCAGAATGAAACTCTATAAGCAAGAAGAACAAGCGACAGCACCTCCAGTTTGCTAAAAAAAAAAAAAAAAACATTTAAGTAAGAGGGAGACTGTTATTTTTACCGATGAGAGCAAATTTGATGTCTTGGGGTCTGATGGAAAAAAGAAAGTGTGGCGTAAGCCAGGAAACACTTGAAATTAAAGAATACACTAACAATAGTTGAACATGGTGGGGTGCTTTGTGGTAACTGCAACAGAACCAGGATTTTGGAGGGATTCCTGACTGGGCACTGCTACGTAAGAAGGTGCATGCACCATATGAGTATAGACAGAAGAAACCCTGTGCAGATATTGCCAGGAAGAGGTGGAGACTGCAAAACACATTTTATGTTTTTGTGAAGGTATGTAAGTGCAGGTTCTTGCAACTAGGACAAGAAAAACCGCAAATAAGATAAGGAGCCGCTGGCAAAGCAATAGAGGTTGATAAGCACCTGAAGCTGGCCAGTAAGTTATAAAAAAAAGGGGGAAGCACAATAAATCTACTCAGGTCGAGATGCAGAAGGCCTTGTGACCACCTCTTTTATTCTTATCCCCTTTCTTAACTAGTTAAACAACTAGTCCTACCAATGAAAAGCCATTTATTAGGAGTAAGAAAAAAATGGGGGTAGACATGCAGATTACCGAAATAAAAGGTAGATAAGTATGCATTTATTTTGCTTGAAATGCGTTTTTTTCATTTCCACGCATTGAATACTTTTACATGTTATATGCATGTTGACTAAAGTTTATAGTTGCAAGTCATGTTATTAATCAATTTAGCCTATTATTATTCAATTTAAAGGGTTTGCTTCTATTTCAGTGAAGGTGTTCAGATGCCTTTTTCACAAATAATCTGGATCATGGTAAGGTCTTGATGAAAGAGCAAATTCAATTGTTATTGGCAAGCTTTCCACCTATTTTAAGGTCATCATCAGGGCAAAACAATCTTAAATATGACTACAAATTGACATAATTAATTTTGTAATAGAAGGTTTCAAATTTCTTTGAAATGTCAAATGAGTGAATCGTAACCAACTCGATATCACTAACAATAGTTAATTCATTAATTTCAGTAATTTCGTGGTCCGCTTGACCAATTAAACATTACAATTAATTAAGGTTTTTAGTTGAGATGAAAAAAAGTTAATGGCACGAGAGGGATTCGAACCCACGGCCTTCAGCTAGATACGCCGCTGCTCTACCACCTGAGCTATCGTGACCTCGATCCACTCGGACATCAACTCCCCATCTCAACCCCACCTAATGAGTTTTCCCTCCTTTTGCCATTTTTCAAATGTCATGTAATCGGTTTGGATTCTCGACGACGATTGAAATGGCGACGGAGAGCTTTAGTGAAGTGTACTTCAATNCTCAGGTGGTAGAGCAGCGGCGTATCTAGCCGAAGGTCGTGGGTTCGAATCCCTCTTGTGCCATTAACTTTTTTTCATCTCAACTAAAAACCTTAATTAATCACTAACAACAGCCCGAAATTCCAACTTACAACTATTGCACAATCAGATATCAATGAAAGTAATTGGGCCAAGAGTCAATCATTCTTATGGTATGAAATTAAAGATCAATCATGCCATATATTTTGAGCCTTGTGGCATAAGAAAGTAATCCTGACTAGTGATAAGAAACGTTTATGAGAGAGAAATTTTCATGCTTAGAAGTCATAAAACATCATACGATTTTTATCCAATTGAATAATTGATCAAAGGAAACGTAGATGATGAGATGTCTGATATGGGCAATGCAGGAAAATGAAGCTGAATCAATTGACGTTGTGGTATACTAATCCATTTACGTTTTAGTGGTCAATCGACCAAGTTACTTTTTTCAATTAATTATTCTTTCTATGTAAGGTCTTGGTTGGGATAAAATTGTGATATACTTGTCACCTTGAATTGTATTCGAGAAAGTTTTAAAGAGTGAAAACACTCCGATTGACTTTTTGTATAAAATTTTGATTCATGAAGAGTTAAATTAGAATGTGCCTTGTGTTATTTTTGGTTTAAGTACATTAAAAAATTGATAATAAAAGGTTCATTTTTGTTTTTCAATGAACTAGCATTTGATATTATGTGTATCTTTCAATATCAAAATTACTATATCAAAAAAAAAAAAAATTGAGAAAGATTGAAATTGGTCTAGTTCTTTTCCTGTTGCACAATTTTCATTCATCAAGAGGAAGATTAGGATGTGCCTTGTGTTATTTTTGGTTTAAGTTGTCAATTTGTGTATCACCAAGAAGTCCATTTGGCCTACTGACAGTGATCTTGTTTATACAGGATCAAAGTAATTGCTACAAGGAAATAACAAGCGTATAAAGGTGGCCGGAAGTGGTTATTTTTTGTATAAAATTGTACGTTATAAATGTGTGGTGATTAGTGACTGGTTAATCGATATTTATTTAGAAATCGTGAGATGCAGTCTGGTGTGATGTAGGTTTCAGAAAAACATTTTCTTTATCGTGCCAACGTTTCGATCTTTATTGAGATCATCTTCAGGGCCTGGGATTTACAAACATTGTTTAAATTTAACAAATANATACTAAAAAAATTTGTGAAAGATTGAAATTGATCTAGTTCTTCTTCTGTGGTACATGAAGAGTTAAATTAGGCAGTGCCTTGTGTTATTTTTGGTTTAAGTTGTCAGTTTGTGCTTTCATACTGAGAAGTCAATTTGGCCTATTGACAGCGATGTTGTTTATACAGGATCAAAAGAATCACTAGGGGGAAATAATTTATGAGAGTGAAGGAGGCCAGTGGTGGTTTTTTGTTTTGTTTTTTTGTATAAAATGGTACGTTATAAAATTGATGATAAAAGGTTTATTTTGTTTTTTAACGAACTAGCATTTAATATGTGTGTCTTTCAATATCAAAATTACTATATTACAAAAAAAAATTGAGAAAGATTGAAATTGATCTAGTTCTTTTTCTGTTGCACAATTTTCATTCATCAAGAGGTAGATTATTAGCCTTGTGTTATTTTTGGTTTAAGTTGTCAGTTTGTGCTTTCTTACTAAGAAGTCAATTTGGCCTATTGACAGTGATCTTGTTTATATAGGATCGAAGGAATCACTAGGGGAAAATAATTTATGAGAGTAAAGGAGGCCGGAGGTGGTTTGCGAAACGTAGGATTTCACAACCATCGGTGCAAAAGTATATAAAAAACAAAAGGGTTTAAAAAAAAATAAGTGAAAAGTTCTAAATATAAAGATGTGTCGCTCACCTCGGTCTTGGCATCGGGGCTGTAGCAGACTAAGATTAAAGTGGTGACAATGTTGACGATGAGTCCGACGACTGTGATCAAGTTCGGGGCGATCCAGATCGGGATTCGGCCGACGAGCCAGTTCCACCAGGGCTGTAGAAAGCGGTCGAGGAAGCTGAGGCTCTCACAGTTGTACTTGTGGTCTGAGAGCCGCTTCAGCTGGCCCGGGCTCAGGATTTTCTCTTTGTAGAAGAACATGGTCCTCGCCGGGGCCTAGGCGCCGTGGGCCGAACGGCGCATCAAACGGGAAAAGGGCGAGGGCGCCGGGCGAAGAAGGCCAGGACTGAAGCAGGAGGCGGACTTTTGGATTTTGTTCCGCTTCTTCCGAACGCTTTTCGACGACGGAGACGACTCGGCACCGAGCTAGACGAGAATGACTTCACAACTGTGAATTGTGATGGACGAACGGGGTCGAGTGACAATCGATCGCGCCACACACTCACCACGTGCACCACCTCGATTACAAAGATTAGCAATCGATTCACAATCCCGCCTAGATTTAACCAATTGAAATTCAAAATAATATTTTATTTGTTTTTTGTTTTAAATAAAAACAGGCGTGCCAGCAAAAAAAGCAGGTTGATACAAATCACTTGTCAATTTGAACAAGAATTCAGTAAAAACTAGACACCATTTTGTTTTCCTCTGCAAGTTCATCGACCTGTGGCTTCCCATCTTTGAACATCCTGCTTCTCTCTGTTATGAGGAATGAAGAGCAGAAACAGACTAAAGACAAAAGCAGAAACTCCTGAAGGATTTTTCTTGACATACAAAGCTGGTCAACAGAACTTACTAGTCAAGTTGAATAAAAATTCAAAAAGTACTAGACCCCATTTTGCTTAGGTATGTTAAGTCATCAATCTGTGATTTGTCAACTCTGATCATCCTGCTTCTGTCTGTTATAGGAAATAAATAGCAGAAACTGTGTGAAATATAAAAGCAGAAACTCCAGAAGGATCTGTTTTGATAAAATAAAGCTGGTCAACACAAATCACTAATCAATTTGAACAAGAATTAAAAAAGCTAGATGCCATTTTTTTAGGTTTCTTAATTCATCAATCTGTGATTAGTCCACTCTGATTATCCTGCTTCTGTCTGTTATAACGAATAAAAAGCAGAAACTGAGAGAAAAGACAAAAGCAGAAACTCCTGAAGCATCTTTCTGGACAAACAAAACTTACTAGTCCAGTTGAATAAAATTTCAAAATGAACTAGACGCCATTTTGTTTAGGATTTAGGTCATCAACCTGTGATTTGTCAACTCTGATCATCCTCTTCAGTCTGTTAGAGTAAAGAAAAAGTAGAAACTGAACGAAAAGATAAAAGCAGAAGCTCCAGAAGGATCTATTTTGGTAAAATGAAGGTGGTCAACACAAATCAATAGTCAATTTGAACAAGAATTATTACAATTGCATTTATCATAAAGATGAATGAATTTGTCATGTGTTTGATACAAAAAAAGAAAAAAAAAAAAAGAAGTATCTACAGATCATGAACTTAGGCTTAATTATTTATTTTGTATGTTCTAAACTTTATGATTTTCTTGTGTGTCTGACATTTTTCTGTTCTACTTCCTTTCCAAATGAATGAATATGCAATAGACAAAAAAGAAAATGTCTAGGTTAAAAAAAATTATTAGTAGAGTGATGTCTGATATTCATGCAGCTTTTTTAAAATTATTTTTAGTGCAAATTACATGGCATATTTGAGGGGGGTTTTACTGCATTTAATAACGCATGTTTTGAAGTAGTATTATAGTATCAAGTCAACCTGTGATTTGTCAACTTTGATCATCCTGCTTGCTTCTGTTATAGCGGATAAAAAGCAGAAACTGAGTGAAATGATAAAAGCAGAAACTCCTGAAATATCTGAAGGAAAAAGGCAGTCAACACAAATTACTAAAAAAGAACTATCTATCACTTAGAACTTAAGATCTATCATTGTCAATAAATTCAATGTGAAACTAGACCTAGTCAATCTGAATGTATTAATTTGCCTATCATCACAGGATGTAGTCGGGAAATCCAGATCACAAGGAATCAACTTTGATGCCATATTAGCAATTGGCATTTTAGAATTTATTGTCTGAACATCATATATTTATAATAGCAATAGATATGTATACTCGCATATTTTTTACGCTGCAAGCCTAAATATATAATTACTGCAGTCCTCCAGGAATCAAAATCTGCTTGTAAATGGTTATTTTTATACCTTGAAAGCTGTTTTAATTTTGGTGGAACATTCCATAAATTACTGACCTTGATTCTGTTTCAATTACATTTTTGTGTCAGGCAACATACTGCCTTACCATCTACTATTCTTCATATGTTTCTTTTTTAATAGAAATTTAGATTTGGTACAATTGTATTGTAATTACTTTGAGGAGCAAGTCTAGTCTCAAAGCTTGCTGATTTTGCATTTTAATTTAATATGGGCAATTATTTTCAAAAAGAATTATGTATATGGATACTAGAGTGGGGAAAAGTATGATATATAAATATAGTGAAACCCTCGTAATAGACACCCCTTGTAAAGGACAATTTGGTCTGGTCCTAACTCGATGATATAGGAAATCAGTGTATTTTGTCACCCTCTACAACGGATACATCTCTAACAGGAGCAGACACACCATTTTTAATGAAATAATGGACAGTGTTTACTTTTTTTCCTTTTCTGTGACTATTTCTTAATTTTTTTTTTATTACATACATAGAATAATGTTCTTGTGAAAGATTGCATCCTGCTTTCCCAGAATAAAATACAATAAATAAAATAAGTAAATAAAAAGTTGTTTAATTTTCCCCCTACTAGCCCTATTCCCTTGAAGAAATTGTTTACATTCCACAAATACACTCTTTTTTTTTCCTACTTTCAGTTGATCTGACAATTTCTTCATACTCTCAAATTCTCAAGGTCAGAGATTTTTTTTCTTTTTCTTTTTTTTGAGGAAGGGAGATTCAAAGAGTTATATACAATAAAACAACTAATATGTAATAAAGAAGAAATGATCGCAAAGGAAGCAAATCAAACGAAAATTACACAGTATTTTAAAACATAAATTTTTACATACATATTTTGAAATTTTTACATAGTGTTTAAAATTATTTCACATTAATCCATTTATGTTTAGTAGTCTAATTGACCAAATTACTTATTTCAATTAATTATTCTTTTTATGGAAGGTCTTGTTGAGATGAAAAAGTTAGTGTCACGAGCGGAATTCGAACCCACGACGGCTAATACACCGTTGCTCTAACCACTTGAACTGTCGTGACTTCAATCTGAAGGTCGTGGGTTCGAATCCCACTCGTGACACTAACTTTTTCATCTTAACCAAGACCTTACATAAAAAGAATAATTAATTGACATTTTATATTAATTTTTTAATGTTTCAAATATGTATATACATTTATCTTTAAATACCTAATAAAAATACTTACAAGTCCATATTATGGCAATATTGATTATGGAGTGAATTTTGTTCATAAAATCTATTGTTTTGTTACCCACCCTCTACAACGGATAATTCTTCGGTACACAAAGCTGTCGGTTGTAGAGGGATTTCACACTTTCACTGTATACGGATTTTCCTTTAAAAATGTTTCAATTTTATTAAAACTAGTATCGAGTTTAAGTTTGAATTTCGATTTGAGGATATTATTTAATGAGTCGTATCGATAGAAATATCGTTTGTAAAGGTTTCGATGCGACTTTTATCGGACAGTCAGATGGTGCCAGTCGCAAGTCCGCAACCAGTAGTCGCGAGTCTGTGAGCCGAAAGATCTCAGCGCCCCGGGTGCTTGAAGAATCGGTGTCTTCATTCTTCAGAGAACCTGTCTTCAGTCTGCAGTGTCCACACGAAAAGATCGAATACATACCGTGACCTTTCAATTCGGTAAAAAGACCCCCTGGGGTCCCAAAAAAGAGAGAGAGAAAAAAAAGCTAGAAAGTCTAATCGTAATAGTTAACGTTACATAATTTTGATAACGTCTGTTTGTAAATTGATAATAATTATCTGATTGTCCCTTTTTAAGCCGGCTGTTCGGTCCGGGATGAGAGACCCGTCGTAGAAGACGATCAGTTCTCTCTTTTTCTCTCTCTCTTCGGGGGACGAAATTCCGGGTCCGTCCCTCGAGTAAGTCGGACGTCGTGAGTTATGTGTACAAATTGGACATGTCGGAGAAAACGGGAAACGACATCGGCCCCGGGGCGGAGAGGCGAGGGACCGTCGTCAGCTTCAGCAGGGAGAAGGACGAGGTGAGCGTCCTCGAAGATGACGAGCTGCAGATCTCACTCGCACCTTACATCCAGACGTACCTGGCCCACAGTGGTGAGGAGTTCGGCTGCTGCGGCCTCTGCCTGCCCGTGCCGTTCGAACGGGCGTCGAGGAGGTCATGGTGGGACCCACGGTTCGACTCGGAGATACTCGAAGGCCAGTACCGCACCAGTTCCTTCACACAGATCAGACTACGGTTCAGGTGAGCACTACTGTTAGCAGGACACGCATGTCTCTTGCAAAAGTTATCCCGCTGCGCCCTGACATAATGAAACAGTTCCGCTTGTGCTACTTCATCAACCGTTATGTCATGTCGATCGAAGATATTCAAATCGTTTCAAGATCCTTTGCTCAGGGAGTTGCATGAACTGACACAATGACAATTTTTTCCAGCTAAACATTTTAAACAGATGAAATTTTCATAAATAAATGTTTATAAATAAAAAAAGCTATTTTTAAACTTTTTTGTGTTTACTTCTTAAGGAAAATATAAATACTTAGACTTTTGGTTCTCTATTTGGTATATTTCAGAATCAAGTCTTTATTTTAAGAAAACATTCACAATTAAATAATTTAATAAATAAATTCAAATTTCCAATTAGAATAATGAGTATGGATTACGTTTTCATTTAATACCATATAGTCACATTTAGTAACTTGGGCATGAATCAACATGAAATCCTGATAACAGAAAATCCTTGCCTTTTCTGATTCTGCAAGTTGCGAACTCGGTTTAAAACATGATCAAAGTTCAATTAAATTCAGGTTTTGGCCAGACCAAGAGGTGGATTTCATGTTCAACACCACACATCTTTACGGATTTTTTTGAGATCGTGAGATGCGATCTGTTGTGATGTAGGTTTTATGTCATTAATGACACATATACACAAAAAACACACACTGAGCCCTGAAGGTGATCTCAATAAAGATCGAAACGTTGGCACGATAAAGAAAACGTTTTTCTAAAACCTACGTCACACCAGTCCGCATCTCACGATCTCCATTTTACGGATTTTGTCTACCTAGGGCTGGTTTTGGTCTGTTAGACACGTTTCAGCTTGTCACCTTTGCCGCAGGGTCTTGTAAACCAAAATGATCAGTGACAACTGAACTACAAGTCACAAATCCAAAATTGGGATGAGCATTAAATTAGATTATGTGTGAGCCGGTCTCTTTATGACCTTCGCACCGTGACCAGTATTGGTTGGTACATTGTGCATTTTAATTTTTTTTTTTTTAATCTAGAGCTACTCATTAAGCTTAAAGCTTTTTACCAGACCCAAAAGCTTTTTCAACAGCTCCCGTGTTTATCCTTCTACTCCCAGGATTAGGAATCTCAGCCTACATAGGCCTTCGCACCAACTGAGGACATGTTCCGCCTTTTTTTTCCTTCTTGGCAATGTCTGCATAGGCTTGTTTCTGCCACTCCGAGTCTATACATATGCCTCCAGAGTCTACAGAGGTTCAGTCAGCATTCAACATTATTCTAGTCCTAGCCCGTTCTAGATTTAGTAGTTCTGCGTTAGATTCTGCGATGCTCCTTTGATAAATTTTTTGCATGCCTCTGTCCTGGGCTACATTCCCATTGAATGGAGGGCTTGTTTTTAATTCATTTTCTAATGGATTCGTGTTTTTGGCAGTTAGATTAGCCACAAAAGGGTACAGGGCCAATAGGTGACCTCATTGAATTTTCCTTCGCCAATTTATCGGCCTCTTTGTTGCCCCCCCCCTGCCTCGTTATTTTCTCCAATGTCTGACAGGGCTGTAATGCAGACCCAAATGTCTCTGGACTTTACCACCGATGTGGCAATTGCCTTCAATGCAGCTAGGCAGTCGGGTAGATGACTATTCTTCTATTGACACAATATCTGGCATGAGCATGATAGTCACTGTGATGTAATTAATATCTAGTAAATTAAAAATTTAGTTTTGAAAAGGCCAATTTGAAAGAAAACAGTTCCTTCGTCCAGCTTTCCATGAATGTACATTTTTAATCAAAATTTTAAAACATCTACATATTAAACTGGTTTAAGGCATAATGAAATTAAAAAATTTCTAATTGGCATTGGGTTGTAGACATCATCGCTACTGCTCTTGAGTGAAAGAAGTGCTGCTATGGTGTATTCCAAATTGTAAAGCAAACCTTCGATCGAATATGGCATCTGGACTGCTCTGAACGCTTACAATTCCTTTATTTTATCTACCATCTAATCCTAAAATCATATTTAATATTAATCAATAGTAGCTCTTATCTATTAGCCAGCCATAGATGCAAGCTTCCCCAAGGAAGTGTCTTATATCCTATCATCTACACAGTATACATTGCAGTCATCTAAAGGATCGTGATGGCCGAGTAGTTAGAATGTCCAATTTGCGTTTACCACATTAGCTGTTTTGGGTTTGAATTCTGGCATAGCCCGTAAATTTTTCATTGTGAATAATCTGAAAAAATGTTGTAAAGTAGTTTGACCCTTCGTCCACCAAACTCAATGGGTAGTTGCACATTAAGCCGTCCTGTATGACAGGAATTATTTTACCTTTTTACTTACGGATGGTGCCATCCTTTCTCATAAAGATCCTGTCATATCGACCAGACTTGCAAACCGATGTCACATCCCTTGAACATTGTTTCAACCAGTGGAATAAACTTACAAAAATGTGAACATGTCACTTTCACCCAATGAAGGATGATAACCAGTACTCTCGTCTACTACAATGGTATACCTATTTTTTCAGTCAATGTTGTCGGATTGGGCTATTGACAAAGAACTCAAACACATCACTCAAAAGACAAGAACTCAGATGTTTTAGACTTCATAAAAAACGGCTGGGCAAACAGTCAAAACTGATTATTCAAAACCAACGCTTCATTTACGTTGATATATGGCATCGAATTTTGGAGTTCAACCCAATATTCTGATTTTCAATATATCCAAAATTTTTTGAACCATCGTCATCACTCCTATGTATCCAATCTTACAATTCACGATGACCTTATTATTTAATATGCCCTTGAAGAAGCTAAAATGAGTTCCACAAGCAATTATCCTGTCAGAAACCTTTCATCCTGCACCCTTCCAAATAATCTTTGATGTCTGAAGCGTCAATGATCTCGTGACCTCCGAAGTGAAAGTAATTAATGCTAATAAGCAGAAGTGACTACAATGGATAAATCCTCGTAACAAATTAAATTTATTATTAAATTTAAATTAAATACTGTCAATCTAATTAAAATTAAATTTATTTAAACACAGCAATTGGCTATTGTGGATAAATAAATTATAATCTTTCTTTGCCTTCCTTTTTGAGAAAATTATAAATCTTGCCTCATAACTTGAATGGTTGAGTTTTTGTTTTAAATGCCATTTTTCAGCCATTCCAGCTTTAACTGGATCTGGAGTGCCTAGTTGTGGTTCTAGTCTCATTGGTCTTTTTGTCTTTTTTCGGCTAGTTGGTCAGCCTGTTAACGAACAGGAAACATCCTTCTATACTATAATTAATTAAGGTTTTTAGTTGAGATAAAAAAGTCAATGGCACGAGCGGGATTCGAACCCTTCGATCTTCGGCTTGATACGCTGCTACTCTACCACTTGAGCTATCGTGACCTCGATCCACTCGAACACCAACTTCCCTATCTCAACCACACCTTTGAATTTTCCCTCCTTTTTGCCATTTTTCAAATGTCATGTAATCGGATTGGATTCTCGACGACAAATGAAATGGCCACGGAGAGCTTTAGTGAAGTATACTTCATTCCAAATCATTAAATTCACTAATTTCGTGGTCCGCTTGACCAATTAATATATTATAATTAATTAAGGTTTTTAGTTGAGATAAAAAAGTCAATGGCANGAACCCACCTCAAGGCAACGTTGCTGTGGTTTCCTAAGTCTATTAGGCAATTTTGGTATTGCCAGGCTGGTTTGGAGACTATCTGACTATATTCATGTACCCTTCATATTCTTCTTAATCGACTTCTTTACATGATTAGAAAAGTAAAATACTTTTTAAGATTTTATTTTTAAAATGGGTTTTGCAATAGTAGAGGTCATCTCACCTGAGGTTTCGGTGTTTTTCTATTGACAAAGGTTCTAGTTTTCCATTGCAGAAAAAAAAATTATGTAATGTACACAGGGAAAAACATTGAATATTAATAGGTTGGATGGGACACCGTAGACTCAATGTTTATTAGAAAAAATGGCTAAAGTTAAAATCAAGGCTTTCAACAAAACATTGAGGAATTTAACCATTTTAAATGGTCACATTGAATAAAATACATAGGTAAATTTAGAAACTTCAAGTAAAACACATAATATACAAAACCAAGCAGCTGTACCTTCTTACCTAATCAGTCATCCACAGTATGTATTTTATGAAGTAGCTAGTTAGATGGACAAATCTTTCATTACTTTAAACATATAAAGAGTCCCTGCAGGGTAGACTGGGTGTACCTTTTTCTCCAGCAGTCTATTGCTAAAGAGTTTATTCTTTTGATAATAATTGAACCAATTAAAAATAATAGGAAATTATTAATGTATTAATATAAGAAATCTAAATAAATCCATGTTCATACTTTTTATGTGCGCAAAAAACTTGTCAATTAAAGTAATATCAGTTATGCAGGAGGATTTAACATCTAACTCTTCATTGGGTGTTGTGAATGAGGGGTCAGGTCACTTTACAATACCTTTTACACATTTTTACTAGAGCCCGGATTTATATGCATATTATTTTTGCTAATAATATTTAAGACCATGGTGATCAGATACACTGATGGACAAATTTAACGCACCACTCAATTTATTTAAAATTAAATCCATTATCTTTCTACATTACTTACAAGTAATTAGGATCTATCTTAGACAAAATGAACAGTAAATAATGCTTCGTTTACTTCCTTTGATTACTTTGTACTGATTAATCCCATTTGCACAAAAAGTAGCATTTGCCTTTCCAATCTGCTACGCCTAAAGATCACTTCCAGTTAATCTTTTTCCTTCGTTGATTTCATCCAGACAAGCATTTGTGTCAGGGTTTTAACATTATTAGAGAAAGGATAGAGCCAGTGTGAAGTTGCCAGGAGACTGAAAGTAAATCACTCTATAATAGGAAGGGTTCTTCATTGCTTCAGAGAAATAGAGCTTCACATTAGAAGGTGCGGGCATAGATCTAGAGACGAGAGAGACCTTAGATTCATTGGTCATCAGGCTCCATGAAAAAGAAGCATTACGGGAAATGAGATAAGAAATCAAGACAAGTCTGAAATGTTTTGAATTTCTTCAGGACTATAAGAAGAAGGCTCAATGAAAGAACCTCAAGGCCCGGCACCCGGCTCGTGGGCCTCTCTTACCACAGATAAGAAAATGGCCAGGCTTCAATTCGCACATGAATATATCAATTGGACATTGGGGGTCCAGTTCTCTTTATAGATGAGATGAGATTTGGCCTTAAATCTTCAGATGAACGTAATTTCATATAGAGAAGTTCAGTATGCCCAATGCTGTATGGTTCCTCAGGTTGATTGATGTTCTGGGGGTAACATTTCCTTGCACACCTGCACAGAATTGGTTGTACTTGGTTCACTGAGGTACTTGGTATGGTATGGTATGGTGGAAAAGGATACTAGGAAGCGGGGTTTGTTTTAACATTTAACATATACCTTTAACAAATACATGTAGGATGTGGAAAAAAGTGAATTTATACAATGTAAAAAATTTTTTTAAATATTAAATCAAAGTATTTCTACTCACTCAAAGTGTTTGTTTTCTGTGTAATTGTGCCATTCTTGCGTGTCGTATGTTTTTTTGCATTGTATAAATTCACTTTTTTCCATATCCTCCATGTTTTTGTTAAATGTAAACAATGTTTGTAAATCCCATGCCCTGAAGAAGATCTCAATAAAGATCGAAACGTTGGCACGATAAAGATAATGTTTTTCTGAAACCTACATCACACCAGACCGCATCTCACAATTTCTAAATAATCATCGACTAATGGTCACTAATAACCATACATTTTTTTTTCTGCCGACAAAGTATGGAACCAAAATGGTTTAAAATTTAAGGGTGGTGCGTTAATTTTGTTCATCAGTGTATTCATCCGAATCATACCTCCATGGTACAATGGCTCAAATTATATTCTGCATATTTGAAGACTATTGCATAAATATGCATATTAGAAGGATATTACAAATTTGAAACATTTTTGATTACAGAAAAAAAATTAGGTAACTTAGAACACAAGTGGAAAAAACGAGAGCCTAATATTCAGATATTATATCAGTTAACTTGCAGGAACAAAGACATTTACAATCTGACACAATTGAATTCTCACAAAATAATCAGAATATTTTTAGATGCCCCTATTTCCAAAGCTTCTAGGTGAAGTTTTTGACTTTGACGAAAAATACTTTTTCTAAAGCAGTCGGCTTGTGGAACTTAATACCTCTTTTGAAATTCAAAAATAGACAGTCTCTTTCTTATTTTCAACCTAAAAAAAAATGCCAAAAGTGTGAACTTAATTTCTTCTAAAATAGCAAGTTGGATTTTTCCTTTCAACACAAACTTCTTCTAAAATAGCAAGTTGGATTTTTCCTTAGTAGTAAATTAGTAAAATCCCTAGTGTAATGCAGGAATTTTATTACAAGAGAAATAAAAAAAAATCTGACAAAACACTGAATTGGGGAAAATTAATTAAATGTTAGGGATGGAAACAAAAAAAGTTGTTATACAGGGAATTCCAGTTATGTATTTTAATTTGATTTATAATTTTTATGTAAAGTGTGGTTGAGATGAAAAATTAGTGTCACGAGTGGGACTCGAACCCACGACTTCTGGCCTTATATCCTTGCAGAACTATTACTTAAGAAAATTTTTGAGAAGAAACCAACAGAAATAAGCAGCAAAGGTATATGCTTATGGTTTTTATAATTGATAATAATGAATAATTATTAATAGTAGGGAATTTATTTTTATTACTCTCCTATTTCATTATTAAAACCAATATATAAACACATATATAACATTTGTTGGACGATATAGTTAACATGATATTTTGTTTTAAATGTTTCAGATATTCTATGGTGTATATGCTTCTTCTATCTATAGTCTGGTGTGGGTACCTGATGGCAGTGGGTGTCTTGGACGGTTCACAAGAGGATGCGTTTCCACTCGGTGTGATATACTTCCTTTTTGCGGTATTCTCCCTCATAGTGTTGATATTCACGAGGTCCCTCCTCTACCGCCAATACATCCTGCCGGTGTCTGTCTTCATATCGCTGGCCATGTGCCTGCTGTCACTGGCGTCGGTGAGCCAGTCGCCTGTACTAAGCCCGGCGAGCGATTTTGCGATATCCATCGAGATTCTGATGATAATCTATACTGTGATACCGTTGCCTTTGTATGCTTGCGTGATAATGGGGGTGACTTATTCTACCCTTTTTGAAATTCTGGGTATGAGGTACGCATTGCCTGTAACGATACTCTGCCATGTTTGTGTTCATTTGATTGCCCTTCACATCCTGATCATGACGAATGTACGAATGCGTGGGACTTTTATGAAAGTAGGACAATCGCTTTTAGTAAGAAGACAGCTAGAGATGGAAAAACAACTAAAGGAAAAAATGATTCTTTCTGTAAATTTTGTTTCTTTAATTGTTTAAAGGAATAAATCAGAGGATAATTTGTGTTTTTAATTTTAGGTCATGCCGCCGAAAGTGGCAGAGTGGTTGATGGAAGAAGGTGAAGGGAATTTCAATCCTTCTGGGATCGACCTAATACGTGGCTTCCGCCCCTTTAACATGAACTGCATGAAGGTAATTAAAAAAAAAAAAAAAACTTTCTTCTCAGATTCAAGCATTTTTATTTTAGGATGTAAGCATTTTGTTTGCTGATATCGTCGGTTTTACAAGGATGTCTTCAAAGAAAACGGCCTCCGAGTTGGTAACTGTTTTGAATGAGTTGTTCGGCCGTTTTGACGACTTATGTGCACTTAACAGCTGTGAGAAAATCGCAACCCTGGGAGACTGCTACTACTGCGTGTCTGGCTGTCCGACACCGAAGCCTGATCACGCGCAGTGCTGCATCGAAATGGGATTAGGTGTGTACTCTTGAAATCTAACAAATTGACAAGTCCGTTTCAAAATGTACCGGTATTTTATTTCGAAGCCGATTTTAAAAGGTCGGGTGTCGGACTTCTTCAGTTGAGACCTTGACATTTTACCGGATGAGTTTGTGGTACAAGAAAAAGGTAGACACATTTAAAGACAAATAGTTCAGAATGTGTAAATGAGACTGGTTGGAAATCAAACCGGTTCTGCCTTGATTCATCCTCCCTAATATGCTGACCTTTCAAAATTTAAAACTGCCTTAAATGTTCTACAATTTTTTTTCTAGCATTAAAAATCAAAATAAAATGTATTTGAAAAAATGCCAAGTTTTTCAATAATCATTAATGTTTGTTTTCTTTATTTTTATGACTTTATAATTCGGCATATCTTACAAAATGCAGGCTAGTCACAATTAACATTTTTGGGGGGCACTCTCAACACGACAAGCAAGAATGGCACAATTACACAGAAGACAAACACTTTGAGCCCTGAAGATGATCTCAATAAAGATCGAACGTTGGCACGATAAAGAAAATGTTTTTCTAAAACCTATCACACCAGACCGCATCTCACGATTTCTGAATAATTATTTTTGTAAGCTAGTTTAAAATGTATATTCAATGTACACTCAGTTTGGTGCTACATGTATTAAAATTAGTATGATGGCTTAAAAAAAAAAAAAATCTAGCATTCCATATTATATTGAACATAATAACATAATATACATACAGAATAGAATAAATTTTTATTTGTACATGTGCACAATAATACATACATTAATTTTAGAATGTAGGGAAAGTGACATTTCACTATGACTTCCTACTATTTACACTGGTCATTTTTTTAAAAAAATACAAATCGGTACGAGTAATTCCATATCAGTTTGTGGGAAAAAAAATTATGTTAACAAAAAACCACAAGCAAAGGGATGAAATCTATATATAAATTAAATAAATGCATATACAAAGTGTAGATGAGAAGTGAATAAATAAATAAATAAAATAAATTATTAAATACATAAATAGGTTTATAAATATTCTTATTACTATAAATTTGATAACTATGTAAAGTTTATAAGACAGGTACGTTGTGTTTGATCCTCTTATGTTTCCAGTTTGCATTTGTTGGATATGCACCTATGGATCTGCAAATAGGATTCTCCTCAAATCCTAATATACATACAGATCAAATATAGAAACCAAAGAGACAATGTGAAAATTGATTAATGATGTAATGTTTTAGTACACTTATAAATCTCTTAATTTTTAATCCTCAGATACATTTGAGTTGTGTACTGGATATGTTATAGCTAGTTTTTGCAAATTATTGATTTCGCGTTATTCAGCCACTGAAGGTCATGATGACAACTTTCTGGACACTAATTCTTCCATCCGTCATTCCTTGAAAGTTAGCGATGAGACAAGACCATGTGGCCCCCAACTTTTCGGGTTAGGAAGTTTTTCATTACCTGTCTACAATTTGTGAAAAAAAACAAATACAAGAAAGAAGGAATAATTCCACATCATCGTGTGCTCCAACGATTCGTGAAATACTCTTTTAAAAATTATTATTATTTCCAAATGCTTCAGAACCCGATTGTTCTTTAGTTACGTAACAGAATCGATTTGTAGCTGCAAAAATGGAATTGTGTGCTGATGATCGCTTTCAAAACTAAAAATCAGATAGTTCAGTTGATAGTGATATCATATTTTTGACTGTAATATGTATCTGATGAATCATACACATTCATGTTGATGAAACATATCACTTTAAATGGAAATTGCAGATTAATAATTGATATATGTAAAAAGCTTCATCTTGTACAATGTAAAATTCTCATTTATATGCTTACTATCTTCCCACATTGTTAATTAAATAATTATTTAAACGACCTTAAAAACATTTACACTTTTGAATGTTGAAAAATGAGTAGATGTAGATGTAATTTTTCAGAGTATGGTATACTGCGCCCTTCAAGAGCTATTGTATCCCCCGTTCTCTGCCTAAAGCACATCGGTGAGTCCTATTTCATCAAGGCCCGGTTTCAGTGGTTGAAGCTCTCTATGGTCACATTATACATCCCAAAACATTTCCTCCTGCGGGCTAATGTAGCTCCGCGGTTTGTTAGTAAATGTGTTGGTGTCTCTTCTGCCTCCTTGCAGAATCTACATGTGCCATCTTGGATTGTTCCAATTTTCTTTAAGTGTCCATTTAATCTGCAGTGTCCTGTTAGGATTCGCAGTCTGTTCCTGCTTCCTTTGACACATTCTGTGATTTCTTACCAAAATTGGTTAGAAGATTCTTGGATTGTTTATGATCAATGAGTGAATTCCATTGTTCCTTCATTTTCTTTTTGTCCTTCTGTCTGAGATATTCGTTAATAGTGTGGATTCCTATGCCACAGAAGGGTTCGAGTCCTATCAGCAGTCTGGCAGCCCCTTTCCTTGCAAGGGTGTCCGCTTTCTCGTTGCCTTCTACTCCCATGTGTCCTGGGACCCAGCAGAGGCTGACTTTATTCTGCATACCTAATATGTTTAATTTGGTTTTGCAGTTCAGCACCATCCTTGAACTAATGATACTTGAGCTTAGTGCTTTGATGGCTGCTTGGCTATCTGACATGATAGCTATATTCTTGTTTTTGTACCCTTTACTTGAAAAATGAGTAACAAGACTAATTTGGATTGTGTTGCTAAGTAAACAGTTGAACAAATGAATGCATTTGATAATTGCATGTGTGGCGTTAATTGTTTAATTTTTACAGATTATACAGAATCTGTATTTTCATGTTTGTTTTAAATAGGAATGATAAGAGTAATAGCTCAGTTTGACCGGGAAAAAAAGGAGGATGTCAATATGCGAGTCGGAGTGCACACTGGGACAGTCCTTTACGGAATCGTAGGGCGAAGGAGGTTTAAGTTTGACGTTTGGTCTAATGATGTCTCCCTTGCCAACAAAATGGAATCGACTGGAAAACCTGGCCGAGTGCATATAACCCAAGCGACTAAAAAGTTCCTTAATGATATTTACGTCCTAGAACCTGGGGAATTGTATGAAGGTAAATTGTATTTAATCTAATTTTAAGAATTTTCCTAATTTAATTTTTGTATTAAAGGTATGGAGACATATTTTATTGTGGATCGAAAAGACAGAATAAAATCAGCTAGCAATTTGGACCAAATTGTGATCAACACGGTTCAAAGTGACCCTTCGTACGAGACAGCCCTCGCCTCACAGTCAGAGTCGCTTGTGACAGCCAAGTCACAAGAGAGAAACGGCCTGGTCACGCCGAACATCAACTGCACTGTGTCTCCTTTCGAGGCAATATCTGACTCGCGGGTCTTCTCTGAGAGCACCGGACTCAACTCCTCACCGTCACCACCTCCCAGCATTCCCAGGCTACTCTGCCTTTCCGAAAAACTTTCTGACACCAAGGCCACTTCGTTACCAGAGGTTTTCGCCTCGGAAATGCAGTTAATACCAAAATCGAGACCGTCCCTGATGGGCAGTGGACCACTTGTACTGAAAAAAAATGCCCCTCAATGGAGATATTCTCGACTCAAGCTAAACACACACAATTCAGGTAAGGGCAAGGATTGAATTTTAGAAATAATCTACTAGGAAAAAAATTAAAAATCATAGTGGCATTTTTGAATGTACTGTAAGCGGCACAGACGTTCTACACCCTAAGTGAAGTACTTAAAGTTTAGTTCAAATTTATTTATGACAATGTAACGCTGCTCTGAGGAAGAGTGTAATAAAGGTCGAAAGCTTGGTGTAAAGTTACAATACTCACTTCTTTGGGAGAGCATCCGTAACAAATTGGTCTGTCGTGCCTAGATGACATTCACCAACAGTAGTCTCCACATCCATCAGCCTCTTCCTACCAGTCTTTTTCTCTGCTTTCTAGACCCTGCTCATCAGTCGTCTATACCTTGACTCGGGTCTCGGCTCTTCTTGGTCTGGACTCTCCACTGCCTCCTTTGTCTCGTTTAGCTCTCCTTCCTTTCTCCCCATATCTCCATCCATTGTAATTAACTGGGGCTATTCGCATGTGTTTCTGGTATGGTATGGTGGTAAAGGTTACTAGGAAGTGGGGTTTGTATTCCCCAGACACTGTAGCCTTCTGGCTTATTGTACCTTCCTAGTTCCTTAGTTCGCTCAATAGACTCAATCCTTCTTTTTAGAAGTATCAGGTTATTGACTGTTGCTGCTGCAATTTGATTCCCTAAGTCTTTTCCATACGTTAGGTTAAATATCCATTGAACTGTTGCTTCGCATTCAAAGATGATATGAGTGGCTATTTCCTCCTCCTCGTTACATAATCTGCAAATGGGATCATCGTTGTATATGCCCATGTTGTGTAGATGTTTTCTCAGATGCCAGTGACAGGTTAGTAGTCCTACCACTCCTCTGAGTTTGGCCCTCTCCAATTGCAGCAGTGCTTTTGCCAGTCTCGGTGAGGGTTGTTTCATCATAAGTTTACTATGTATAGCACCGCTAGAGTTGATCCACTTCTCCGTTTGTTTTGTTTGGATCCATTCTGCGATGGAGGATTCTATATTTGTTTTTGTTATCCCAAGTATAGGTTAATAATATAGTATGTATGGTCTTGCAGATCCGCCTCTAGCCTGTCTGTCTGCTTTCTCGTTACCCAAAATTCCTCTGTGCCCTGGCACCCAAGATATCAGGTTGTTTCCCCAGGTTTTGGGGATTTTGGATGCATTCATTGACTAATTTTGATGTGATTTTACATGCTAATGCTTTAATGGCTGCTTGGCTATCTGATCTTATGAGGATTTTTTTGTCAGTGTCTTTTAAGATTTTCCAGGGTACAAGCATTGATGGCGTGTATTTCTGCTTGAAAGACTGAGGTGTACTTCCCTAATGAGTTTGATCGCTCATGTTTTGGGCTTGTACAGAAAACGCCTGATCCGGTTCCTTCGTTTGTTTTGGAGCCATCTGTGTACCATATCATTGTATCTGATGCTCTCCTGTGTTCTTACTCTCCTTTATAGTCCGTTGAGACTTTATAGGAAGTTGTGAAGATTGTTTCCAGCGCTTGTGTTTGTACACCCTCCTTTGTTTCCTGGGTTTTCCTTACTGTCAAATTTTCCACAAAAAAGTCCAAAATTATTATTAAATCCATTACAGTTCGTGGTCCGATTGACCAATTAACATTTTTCAATTAATTAATATTTATGAAAGGTGTTGGTTAAGATAAAAAAGTGTCACGAGTGGGATTCAAACCCACGACCTTCGGCTAAATACACCGCTGCTCTACCACTTGAGCTATCTTCATGCTCTGACACTAACTTCCCATCTCAACCCCATCTTTTGTTGGGGTTTGTCTATTGTTAAAGTATTTTATTATGTGCAAATTAAAGTATTATTTATTTATTCAAAATATCTCGCTGTTTTTCTTCAATACTTTAGAAATATCCATAATCCGCCCAAGCCCAATTCCTGTCCCTTGCTAAAAGGTTTAACATGTACGTAGCTAAAATTGAGCTTTCGTGAAGATATACTTCAGTTTAATTAAACTCTCCGTGGCCATTTCATTTGTCACCAAGAATCAAATAGATTACACGACATTTGAAAAATGGCAAAAAGGAGGGAAAATTCAAAAGGTGTGGGTGAGATGAGAAGTTGGTGTCCGAGTGGATCGAGGCACGATAGCTCAAGTGGTAGAGCAGCGGCGTATCTAGCCGAAGATCGTGGGTTTGAATCCCGCTCGTGCCATTGACTTTTATTTTGACTGAAAACCTTAATTAATTGTAATATATTAATTGATCAAGCGGACCACGAAATTAGTGAATTTAATGAATTAAAATGAAGTATACTTCACTAAAGCTCTCCGTGGCCATTTCATTTGTCGCCGAGAATCCAATCCGATTACACATTTGAAAAATGGCAAAAAGGAGGGAAAATTCGAGAGGTGAGGTTGAGATGGGAAGTTAGTGTCGGAGCAGATCGAAGTCATGATAGCTCAAATGGTAGAGTAGCGATGTATTTAGCCGAAGGTTGTGGGTTCGAATCCCGTTCGTGACACTGACTTTTTTTATCTTAACCAATACCTTTCATAAATATTAATTAATAGAAAAATTATTATTAAATACACAAAAAAGTCTCAAGTTTTACAATTTAATTTAATTGTGAAACTATCTTGTGATTTTTTGTGTGCTATCTTTGCACCTATAATTTGATCCTGTCTGATCATCTTGATCTGCCTACCCTCGCTGTACTTGTCTGCCTCAAAGTCACCCCAAAAAATAATTCAATGTTGGCTTGGCCCAAAGGACAAAACCCTCAGATTGACCAAAGGAAAAACAGAAAGCGTAAACAATGCTAACGGATCGTTCCAACATGCAATTTGTATGGGCACATACAAAACAATTTTATTTAAAAAAAAATGTAAATTCCAAAATATAAATAAAAAAGATTTCTGCTGCTTATAAAAGAGGGTAGTTTCTATATCAGACAATTTTGCACAGGCTGATCGAAATCGCAAAAAAGCAGGTCCGTCCTTCTCCTACCATTGTCAGGAGGGGGTCTTGTGGACATGATACATTATAGAGCAGTAGTTGCTTTAAAAAGTTCCCATAAACTATGAAACCATCTCTTGCAACTTATCTTTGCCATACATCAAGTTGAAATTTGTAAAATTAAAAACCAGTTTTTAAAAAATCTTTTGATGATTGAAGTATTTCAGTGTTCATGACCATAATAAACTGCTTTCTACTACCTTTAATATGTTTTTCGTTGTCATTAAAATTTATTTTTGGTTTTGCTAGATATCGAAAATGGAAAACTACAGCAAACGTACAACAGTATAGATTCTGAACCATCGCCTATGGATAAGGTAAACCAAAAGTGTATTTTATTTGCGAATAATATGGATCCTAGTATGGTCAATTGGATGAAAACAAATTCAGTGTTATCTGCCGAGCTTTCGACCTATTTTAAGGTCATCATCAGGGAAAAACTATCTTAAAGATGTCTACAAATGGACATAATTCAGTTTTTTTAACAAATGGTTACAAATTTCTTTGAACATGACTCGATCCCAACACTACCAAAGACTGCGATTTTTATCCAATTGGCCATCACAAGTTCCAGATTATTTGTGAGTAAAAAATGTATTTATTTGTACTGTAATTTTGTAAGTTTTGTTTTTGTAGACTATTAGCATACAATTGGAAGTTCCTAAAGACGAGCTGAGCTTTTGTCACTCTCTAAACAGCAGAAAGGACTCTGGGATAAGGAGTAACAGTCGGAGAAGCAGCATTCAACAGCAGGTACTTTTAATTTAACCATGAAAAAATGCCTGCTATAGGGATTTTGTGACTATTTCCATTTCCATTGTTTATTCTTTGATGTTGAATGTGACTTGCAGTTGTATGTTATGAACGGTATTACACAAGGCGAACTCCTGAATCATAGAGTTAGCGGCTATTACACGTCGAGTCAATCGTCCCTGAACAACTCAGACAAAGGTACCTTTTCCCAGTACACAATCAACCTTTTCCTTCTCCTTCTTTAAACTCATGGCCCGTTTTATAATTTTTCCAGACACAAAAGGCATCAAGTTACCGAGTCCTTTAACCGAGTCCTTTGGAGCATGTTTTCAAAAGATCAGAAAACAGTCAGACCTGCAACTGATTCGTTGTGTACAGGTGTGTTGTCTGGAGTATTATTATGTTTTGTCTTTTTGTTCCACTTTTCTTCAATTTATCAATTTATTTTGTTTTTCCATTAAAAAAAAAGAATATTTGTGTGTACTATTGTATTATGTCGTATGATTGTTTTGATATATTGCTTTTGAGTTGTCATGTGTCCCAAGATATGCATTCTTGTTAAATCTATTAGCCAATGTGGGTTTCAGGTTATAAGAGAAACATTTTTTTTCACCATCGTTTTTTTACTTGTAATTTAGAAACGACTCTGATCTAAGCAAACAATTTTGAAATCTGTTTAGGTTTATAAATTACACTTATTTAAAAATTTTCTAAAAAATTGCCTTTTTTTAGTTTTTGGGCATGTCGTTCTGGAACGACGTCCATATATGGGGAAGGTCAAGTTAGGCAAACCAGCAATGTATATGTTTACCCACTGTGTAATTTATGTAAAAATTGACTAATTGTATATTTCTGCTTACTAATCCTTAATAAAAAAATAAATAAAAATGAAACAAAAATAAAAAATAAAATAAAATAAAAAATACTATAGGGAAGTAGTATGGAAATGAACAAAAAATGAAATATATATTGTATTTTCTTGAAATTTATTACTATGTATCAATTTTTTTGTGGCAATTAAAAATAATTAAGGCGGCATTGGTAGCCACAGTGGTTTCAGCATTGACACGGCATCATCACTGTAAAGTAAAGGGTCCTGGGTTCAATTCCAGCGTCCTTACATTTGAACCCAACATACAATTTTTTCTTCTTTTCAAAACACCGAAGTTAAACAATTATTTCTTATATATTTGTACATACATGTTTTTAAGGCATATTATTAAAATAAATAAAACCTGACTGTGCTAAAAATATTACAATTATTTACAAATTCAGTAATTATTTCCATACTTACTATTTATTGACAATTATTTACAAAATTCTTACTTATATACTAATTATTTATGGGGGTGTCGGTGACCGCAATGGTTTAGGTGTTGACACGGTGCTTATCACTGTAAGGTAAAGGTCCCGGGTTCGAATGCAGGGCCACTGGATAGGAGGACATACTTACAAATGGGCTTTTTTTCAAAACACCAGCCACCCTGATGGTTGATATGGCCTCTGCTGTTGCGAACCCTCGAAAAAAAAAAAAAAAAAAAGTACCAAACAAAAAATTGTGAGTGAGGCCAAAAAAAGAAAAAATAAATAAAAGAAAATAGGACATTTTGTAATAGATTATAACTTAAAATGAAAGTATTTTTGAGAAAGAAAAAAAGATTAACCATCAAAAGAAATGCATTTCACAATGATATGATAAAAAAAGTACCTTTTTCTACAAAAAATCCCCCCAAATTTTTTTTTATATCGAAAGATCAAATTGAAAAACAATCTTTGGAGGAGAAAAACCAACACTCTGCAACTAGCTTCAAAAAGTGGGGGTTTTCTAGAAGAGGTAGAACGACACCCGTAATGAATACGTTAAACTAATTGTTCAAAAAACACAAAAACGAAGCAAGTTATATTTATTAAAGTAAAACATAAAAAAACTTAAAATAAATTAACAAACAGTTAAAATACTAGATTTCTATTAAGTTATTTTTGAATGACCATTATATACCATTAAGTGATAGTATTAATAAAAATCATTAAATTTGAGGTCTTATAATCTAATAAACTAAAAATATCTTCTAAAACAAATAAAAATGCCTTATAACACATTTACAAGAAACATGGTTAGTGATTGTTGGGAAGATAGGACATGACATAGATTTTTACTTTATTATTATTAATTTATTTTTTACAGAACTGGTTTGACTAATGAGTTGGATGTTTTTAGGATAACAGTAAATCTGAAAGGAGTTATTTTGTGAGCCCACCATTGAAGAGATGGAGCCTCCTTTTTAAGCAGGGTGAAATGGAGAAGGAATATAGGGAAAAAGCTCATCGGACGGCACCGACCGGACCGAATAAGACCAGAACTCTTGCCACTGCTCGTTTTAACACTTATTTTGACATTTCTGTGTCTCTTATTGTCAGTATGAAACTTTATAAAATTATTTATTTTTTTATAATATTTTTTTTCTTATGATAGGTTTTTACATCAATATCGTTATCAATGTTTCTAACCTTCCCATTCAACATCCCTTGGATGACAATATTTCTTATATTGATGAGCGTCCAGCTGATTGTTGTGTCTCTCTGTATCCATTCGATAGTGAAGCCGATTTTGATAAGGCAACTGAGGCCGCTTTTGAACTGGTATTCGTGGCATATAATCGGTGCTGTATTGGTGTCGCTACCGATCATAGCCGTTTTGATTAATTTTAACCAGTCGACCGTTTCCAAAGACAATTTGTACAACTATAGCTACCTCATTTTTATTGGCATGGTGCATTATTGTAATTTCACACAGTTGAACTGCTGGATGAAAAGCAGCCTCGCGACGCTTGGCGCACTAATTTATCTAATCCTGGTCACAAATACTGTTTTGCAAAACCCGGCGCTTGTCAATGTCAACAGCACAGGGAATTTCACGACCGAGAGGAACTTCTCTTTCGTAGCGCCAACTTCTTTCATCTCTGGTGAAGAAAATTTCAGGAAGAAACGAGAGAGTTTAATTGATATCGGGCTTATGGACTATCTAGCTGATAACGATATTGTAAAGAAACAAGAAAACACACCATACCCTGAAACGCCTACCACAGAAGAGCCTTGGCAAATGTTAAATTTTTCGCCGAAGCATAAAAACATGCTGAGAAGCGAGTCTTTCTTAATAGAAATCTACTTGGATATTTTCTTTCTGGCTTTGCTTGTCTGGTTTTTGAATCGGGAGTTTGAAATCAGCTACAGACTAAGCTTCCACGGAAATGCAGTTGCAGCGAAGGACAAAGCCAAAGTGGAAGCTATGAAGTTGCAAGCGGATCTTTTAGTTGAGAACATCATCCCCAAACATGTCGTGGACCACTTAAAAACAACAGCTTGGTAATTTTTAATTAATGTAAAATTTATGACATACCTATGATTTTATATTTTTTATAGCTATTCTGAGGATGTCAAAGATGTGGGTGTAATGTTTGCCAGTATAATTAATTTTGGAGACTTGTATGATGAGTCATACATGGCTGGAAAAGAATATCTTAGGATTTTGAATGAATTGGTGAGTAAACATTTTAAAAATTATCACTTATTTTTAAAAGACAATTTTTGGTATTCTAATAAAAGCAGATAAAAATGAAACATTTATTGAATAGTATAATATCCACTAAGATCTTGTGTAAAAATATCTGGCGTTTTTGATGAAAAAAGATGCAACTAAATAAAAATAGACTATTCAATTAACAGTTAAGAATATTTTACAATGTAATATAATATAAAAACAGCACACTTGGGGTGTATAAAAAAAAGCGGAAAAAATTTCTGTCTTGTTTCATTGGAATCGAAGTACATTTTTTTTCTGACACGATTTGCTGATTTTCTTCAGGTGAGTGATTTTGATGATTTACTCAGTCAACAACGATTCCATATGGTTGAGAAAATAAAAACAATAGGATGTACATACATGGCCGCTTCTGGGTTGAACGCTTCTCAGAGGCAGGCGAACAGCAACGAACATCTTCGCCAGCTGATGGAGTTTGGGTTTGCGCTCCAGTCTGTCATCGACAATTTCAATAATCACTTATTGGGAGTCAAACTCATTCTTCGGTGAGTATAACAAATGTTTTATAAATTTCACTTAATTAATTAATTTGGTTACAGTGTTGGCTTCAATTATGGCGACGTCACCGCAGGTGTAATAGGAACGACAAAGCTCTATTATGACATATGGAGCGACGCTGTTAATATTGCGAGTAGGATGGACTCGACCGGTGTGGCCAACAAGATTCAAGTACCTGTCAGCTGTATTCCAGTGCTTTCTCAGTATTACGAATTCGAACATCGAGGAACCGTGTTTGTCAAGGGTAAGGACAACATGGATGTTTACCTTGTCTCCGGACGAAAGGAAAGCGACGACCTGCCTTATATCGAATCAAAAAGCGAATCCGACAGACTAACAAGTCAATGAGTCATATTTATTTATTGTTTTGGATATAATCTGGAACTGAATACAATTTTAATTTTGACATCGCATTTGCTCAAAAGCTTTCAATTCTTTTGCAGGCTTACTGTGATAAAACGACCTGTTTCAAGGTGAAATTGATATTTTAGACAAATACTCTGATAAATATGTTTAATTGTTTTGTCGTGATGAAATGCTATTTATAAAGCTCCTTTAAAAATTGTTGACATGGATCAAACACTCGGTCCAATTAGCAGAATCAGTTTGTATTCAGTTCTTGCAACCAACAAAAAATGTTCCTTAACAAAATATTTCGTCGGTACTTTAATATGTAAGCGAGAAAGCAGAAAATTTATTTATGTTTTCATTTGGTATCATTTTATTTTTAAAATTTTTAATTTGTTCAATTCTGCTATGTTATGCTTGAACTATTTAGTATTGTACAAAGCTGTACAGTTATGCTGAATCTTGTGGAATCGCCTATTTTAGGATATTATAACAAATCTTAGACTGTGATTTGCCTAACTTAATTGAGTTGACACCCTGATTATACGGATGATGTTTAGACCCCATCAAAAAAACAAAAATTTTACCATTTTTAGAATAGTTGGTCTTTTTTTGTAAAATCGTAAAATTGTGTAAAAGGGCACAAATCTGGAAATGTTTATTTTATTTTTGCAAGTTTGTTCATGTTGTTTTAACAAAGTAATTTTTAAAGCCATTTTTGACAGAAAATAAGACATCACTGACTGGGCCTTCCTAATTTATTTTATTTTATGAGCAAAAGAATAAATATAATTGTAATTAAAAAGATATCACACTGTAGCTGGAATTCCTGAATCCAATTAATATCAAGATTGAATGAAATTAAATAATATTTTACAGCAACTATACGTTAGAACTTTTATGAGTTTCAGGTTAATATTTTAAAGGAGCTTTCCTCCCAAGAGCTAAGGGAAAACAGCCTTCTTCAATATTGAGTTATTTCTTGCTGATCCTTGAATTTCATGTCTTTCTTTTCTTTTAGAATTGCCTTATTCTTGTAAAGGAAATTCCCTTGGTTTAAAAATAAATAAATGAATAAATGTAAGTTAAATTTGATCAAGTTTCACAATTTGCTACTGTGTTCACAAACTCACACACACACACACACACACACACACACACACACACACACACACACACCCACACTCTCTCACTCTCACACTCTCTCTCTCTTTCACAGTATTACTTCAAAATTAAATAACTTTTCATTTTTGAACCTTTAAGGAATAAAGTTTCCTCAAAAAATGTGTAAACTTTTTAATGTTACATTTAATTCTTTAACTTCTTTATTATTGATGAATATTATGTGAGATTAAGTAATTTTTTTTACAAAGTACAGAGTTGATAGATTTTTCCATTTTTTCTTGTCTGCTGACATCAATCCTCTCATAAACCATACTGTAATATTCATTAATAAAATAGACGTGTTATAAATTTAATTAAAAAATTAAAATTTGTAAGTTAATGGAGTATTTTAATAAAAGTGAAAAACGAAATTTCAAGTTTATGAAAAAAAAATTATAATTGAGTAAACTGCGCACAATAGCCAATAAAGGATTTATTTACTTTACCGTAGCTAACAATAAACCCATTAGTCAGCTTTTTAACCGTATATCATCTTGTTTAGATAAATTATATAATTACCACAAAATGAACTTTTTTTTATACAATAAAAACTATTTTTGATAATTTTGACATCACATTAATACTGTGATTACTTTTATTTTTGTGCATTATGAAACAATAGTTGATTTAACTGAGTTTAAGGCAGATTCAAGGAACCGTGTCACTGCTTTGAATAAAAAATGTTTAAATTTGGTATGCTTAATGACCAGTCTGCGTCCAGTGTTTCTATTTCTCCTTAAACACTGTTAAATTTATCTTTTGTACTTTTTAACATGTACTTGCTCTATTTACCAAAGATACATTTGGGTGAAAATGTTTTAAATATAATTACAGTTCCTTTACTTTCATCTTGAAATTTATGGTATTAGCTACCTGTGCAAAAATCCACATAAACAAAGTTCTAGATCTGTGCCTATTGCTATTTCCAGATATTTTTTTAATTGTATGCCATTTCATTCAAATATTTCCTATAGGTTTTTTTTTTCTATATTGATATTGCTCTGATATACTGTCAAACCTTTTACCCTTTGATAATTTTAAGAAAGATTCTTTTGCGACTTTTCATAGTAATATATTCATTCAAAATGCTCTATTTTTTCTTGAGCGGTATATATAAAATATAGATTTATACACGTACAGTTAAAAAGATTTTTTATTTTATAAGCAATTTAGCATTTAAGTAAACTGTAGCCTGATTTAACAATGGGTGCGAACATTGTGATAAACATTGTTTGATGTTATGACATGTGGGACAGAAACTTTTATATAGACAAAAGTGAGAAAAAAAAACCAGGTTGTTAACCTATATATTTTAACATTAATTACTGGAATCGAGCGGTAATGGATTGATAATAAATTGTTAAATTAAGCTCGCAACTCTAGCTGTATATCTTGCCTTATTGTAATTTTAGAAAATTGTCAATTAGGAAAAACAAAGTGGTATTGATAATTGTTTTAATTTGAGAATGTAATATGGATGATGTTAATCGCTTACAGATGCCTTATTGTGCCTGATATGTATCGCCTTTGAGCTTGCATTTGGCTCTCTTCTTTTTTAATAGCTTGTTGTTTCACATCCTTAGTTCTTAATTACATTCCTTTAAACATCACTCCTAAATATATATAAATATGTTTTAATTTTATCTGTCTGTCTTTGTTGTATATAAGAATTTGTGTTTGTCCTTGTAATATAAATTTGTTTTTATTTGACATTACAATTTTACAGATATGATATTAATGAGAGAAATTATAACAGAATATAGAGTTATTTTCATCTATTTAAAATCTCTGTATTTATTAATGATTAATGTAATTATCTTATTGAATTTTATTTATTTGTGTAAATTTAATTAATGACTATTCATACAAAAGTGATATTTTTCATTTACACTGAATGAGAATTTTTAAATAGCCTTTCTTATAAATAGAACGATTACAATTTTTAAATGTAACTGAATTCACTTAAACAATGTGTTTTTCAACAAAGAACAAATAATATTTAGAATGCAATTATTGTTCCTAAGCAAAAATCTAATCTTTAAAAGTGCTTTATAAACAAATCACTTAACTGTGCCATAAAAAAATTGATAGTTTTATCAGAACGACTTGCCTGTTTATTAATCCTAGTTAATTGATATTATTTATAGTTGTGTTATGCGTGAATCGTCGTAATTTCAAGTGAAATTAAGAGAATGCTCAATAACGAATGACGAGGCCTAAATGTTGAAACGACAGATCGAATATTATATATTAAATGCCAAATGAAATTGGTTTATAACAGCTTTAGATGTTTATATACAATTTTTTCATATTGTATTTATAATTTTTAAAAAAAATTATTTTTTATTTTAAAAAAATTGTTGTAAATGCTCTGATAATAAAGTTTGGTAATTATTGTATTTGTTCTAATTCATTTGTGCGATACAAATATTTTTGGCTCTAGCTTTTTTTCTATCTATCTTGTCAATAAATACAGAACATGGTTCACACCATCCGAGAAATATACAGACACATTGATGACAATTGCCAAAATGACTGACAGACCAACACAGCGAGGTAGACAGGTTCAGGCAGACAATACAAAGAAATTTAACAACAAAATTTATGTATTAGACCCACTGTACAGATTTTCTGGCGATTGACTTTTGTTGGACACTTCCTTTGCATTGTTTTATTTGAGTGTGCACACCCAAGTTGGCTGATACCTGCCCAACTAAACAATTGGATACACTGTTCAATTCCCTTCCAACCTAAAAGTGGGTCAACTATCAGCAGAATGTTTATTCAGTATAATGTACTTTGCTGACTATCCAGTCGATATGAAATTAGTTTTTTTGGTTATATGAGCCCTCGGGGGTGATTTTGAAAAAAAGCCTGTTTGTAAGCATACTGGGTTCAATTTCAGGGCTGTTGCATTTTAACCCTGGACCTTTACCTTTCAGTGGTGAGTAAACATTTACTTCTCACTCCTTTACTACCGTGAAGGTTTTGTTTGTTCGTTTATGTTTTGTACTGAAAAATTACATCGCAGACCATGATTTTTTTGTGATTAGACATGTCCTTCTGGTCCTTTTCTGATTTCTGCCTCTAATCTTCTTATTCGATCTCTCGATGTTATAACCTATAAGTCAGTGATTAATTTTTTATATTCGTTAATGTTGGTGACTAAAAACATTTACAGTGCAGACTATCACAGAAAAACATTTTGAACATATATTCCATTAATTCACTACTTTCGTGGTCCGCTTGACCAATTAATACATGACAATTAATTAAGGTTTTAGTTGAGATGAAAAAAAAAACTTGATAAACCCACGAGCAATCTAACCGAAGGTCGTGGGTTCGAATCCCTCTCGTGCCATTAACTTTTTTCATCAAAACTAAAAACCTTAATTAATTGTCATTTTGAACATATATGATAATTATGTTCCTTTTTGAAATTAAATATTGAAACTTCTAAATCAAGTTTTTTTTTGCAGTTTTTCCCTTTGAAGGTGGAGAAAGTATTGCGTTGGGCCGAAAAACGACGTGCAGAGTTTTCTCTCAATCGGCACGTTTTTAGGTACTCTGTGCTTTAAAACATCGAAATCCCCCCCCCCCCCGTTGACCAACCTGTATCCGCCCTTGATACAAACACTACATATTTGCAAAGTGTTTGTTGCAGTAAAAAAAAAAAAAAAAAATCAACTATTGGATTTATATATCACTCCAAATTTCGACTCGTATTTGCCACGAGTTCGGCAAAGACGCGGTTCTCGGTTCGAATCTTGGCAGACAGTTTTAGCTTTTAAGTCCGCGACAGCCAGGGTAGTTAAGCCCTCCTGTATGTCAAGAATTACTTTTTACTTTTACTCACTCTATCTTAGCTATATAAACTGTTTGGTTGGCTGGTGCACACTATCCTATACCATCGGCCAATTTCCACGCGTTTTACAGCTCAAAGCAGTAATGGACAGCCGACAACGTTCGCCACCTTTGCGGAGGCTTCATAGTTACTCAACTTAGGCAAAATCCACGCTTTGAACAACCTGAATTAAGTTCTTTTGAAACAACTGCATGGATCTTGGTTATTGACTTCCCTCTGCTTAAACCCTGCATATCCGCTATCTCTTGTAACCGATCATTGTCATATTTTTTGTTTAAAAAACCGTACTGAAATCTATTAGATTGTATAATTAGAATTGAGGATATCGTAATAGTCTTTTCAAAATCTTCATTGGTAGTTCAATTTAATTTAAATTTGAGTTTATTAGTTGGTATATTGACATTGATATATCAGCAAAACATAATTTTTCAAACAAAAACTGGCTAATCGTTCCTTGGAACGTTCTGCAAAGAAACGAAACGATAGGCAAATTGTTATATAAAAATAAAGAGGGTTTTAAGGTTTGCTACTGTCGGTCGTATAAATAAAAAAAAGCTTCAAAGGAAATGTTATTATCTAACTTTTTTAGTAGGTACCTGCGAACATGTTTAACCGGGGGTTAACACAAATGAAAAGGAGCTTATTCTTTTTTTATATTTAAAAGACTTTCTTGTTTTTAAATATGCTGGTAACAAAGGCTAAATCTCCTAAGCCTTTTTATGGACTTAGTTCTCTCTCTCTCTCTCTCTCTCTCTCTCTCTCTCTCTCTCTCTCTCTCTCTCTTTCTCTCTCTGGAAGACTCATCCCATCGAGATTATCAAAGGAGTATTACTAAAGGTCGGACAGAGCGAATTAACAATGGGGCACAATGATGGATAATTCGCCCTTGAGGCTCATTAACCCCACAAGGTGAACTTGGGCTAATCCGAGCTTCATCTGAGGGATTATTAACCCACATCTAAGTTTAATTGAAAGTCCGACTTGCACAACCATTACGGAGATCTCTTGAGCCGTCATTTAGATTAAGAAGATCAAAATCCTCTCATGATACCCAAGCTAGTAAATTTAATAAACTCAGGGATAAATATTTTGAAATAAGTATCTCTTGAAGTCCCCATCAAGGTAGGACACGTTCTAAATGGGCTTTAATTTACTAAATCTTATATAAATATCAGAATTCTTTCGAGCTTTGGACGAACTCTCTTTCAAGAAAATTAGGATTATTTTGGACCAACTTAGATATTTGAGTTCGGTGAAAGAAATTTATCCAGGCGGCCAATTTAAGGCTTTTTAACGAAAAAACCTAGTCTATTGGAAGGATGAAACGACAGTTAAAAATGGCTTGGTATATGTTATATCAGTCAGGTGTGTTTACTTACTAATCATTTTCTTAGCATAAATACAAAGTAAAATGAAAAACTGTAGGAAGAACTGTTTGGTGCTAAGATGGCAGAAAATCCAAATTGAAATTTGAACAGTATTTGGAAACGGTTTGCCAAACGTGATTTGCATATTACGGTCTTCCGGTATGTACTGACGTCACGGAACCGATAAATTATCAGCGTAATATGATCGATCTACGTCTCACATGGCTATCCCTGATAAATCGGGGGTCGGATTAAGATTATCTGCTGTACGTCATGTTCGAATGAGGGATTTTCAAATAACACCAATAACGCTAGTCATTTGGCAAACAGTGTGTCTATTTGATTGAATGATAACATTTATAATATTGTCAAATCGGTAAGTAATTTTTCAAGAGCAAGAAATAGTCTTTACTAAATTTAAAAAAACTTTAATTCAAAAGGGAAACCCGTCGGTATGATTTTGATAAAGCGTACAAGAAATCTGTTTTAAATTGTCTTTGGTGATTTTACATCACCTCGGGTTAAGAAGGAGGCAAATGCAATTGTGCTTGATTGAAATAAGATAAGCCGAGTGCATTAGCCCGTACAGATAAAGAAACGTTATTAACATTATTTATGTATTTTTTCCCTCCACCTCCCTGCCGTACCTTAGGGAGACCTCATACCGGCGGACCTCGGCCTCTAATCTAGTTTTACTTCTAATTTTGGGTCCTGGGGTATTTAACGCCTTCCTTCGGTCGCACTGTGAGGGGAGGAGGCCCAAGGAAGATAAGGGTAAGGGTAAATTCTTGTTTTCTTGCTGATTATTTGTTCCTATTCTAAAAGGTCTCCCCTTGCTGGTTACTCCTTTATTAAATATTTACATATTGATTATACACATATAATTTATTAAAGCCTTAATAAATAAGGAGTAATAATCTATGTACATAATCTATGTATATATACATACTTATTTTATGCATAAGACGCTTGTAAGACGAGTAAATTCTACATGCAAAATGGAACCAAAAATTCGTCAGCAGTTTCGGAGTTATTCCACTTTTTATGATGTTTTATGATTTCACAATTATAAGTTATAAACAATTATAACTCCAAAACTAAAAGGTTTTGGACAAATCTGTTGATTCCGAATTTCCTTAAGTTTTCTATTTTTCACTATTATTAATCGTTTCACCTTACCAATCCTTCAACCACAGTTTTTTCCTTTCCTTCATCAATTTCTTCATCCTTGAAAAAAGTATATAAAAAGCAATTGCACCAATAAAAAGGATATTAAATGGAGTACGTTTTCTGAAATTTGCTGGTCTCTTGGTTTGATGTAGGTTTCAGAAATTTTTTTTCTTTATTGTGCCAAGTTTTCGATCTTTATTGAGATCATCTTCACTGGGCACTCTCAACACGACACGCAAGA